GATCGATCTTCCCGACGCTCGTGACTCCTTTTTTCGTGGGCTTCTTTGCTTCTCAGGTTGGCCCTTCTCGCTCTCTCTCTCTCTCTCTCTCTCTTTCTCTCTGTTTCTTTTCGACCGCCTTTTGCGGACCAAGCCTTTACAATCGATTGACTTCGATGCTTCGATCCCCCTTCAAATTATCCGGAATTACACACGTCGCCCACAAGACTCCCTTAAACGTGCTTCTCCCTGTTCTTCTCCCTCTTATAGCTCGACGAATTAGGATCGCTCGAAATTTTCAATATCTCTCATTCCTTTAGTAACGTTGAGAATTCTAATGGCGAAGTTTATTAATTCTTAAGGTAATTTCTGTTCTTCTTTCTTCTTTTCATTACAACTCATAACTTTCCCATCACGATCCATGTGTGCTACGATAATAATTTTGATCAACTTCTAAGTATACTTTTAATGAAACTACTTTTCATTACAACTCATAACTTTCCCATCACGATCCATGTGTGCTACGATAATAATTTTGATCAACTTCTAAGTATACTTTTAATGAAACTACATGTTTTCTAATACAATGTAATTTAGCAGTCAATTTAGTAAATTAAATAACTGCCATTAAAATACAACGTTTATATACTTAATAATAATTTGCCAATGTGTCATTTGTAAGTAAATAAATAATGTGCGTTTGTATGACACATTATCGGATAAATTAAATAATCATTTCCATTTTTTCTTATATCGCTTCTTCCTTGCGTATCACAAAAGGTCAAAATTCAATACGGTCTGTAAGAAATGTAAATGTATATTTTTCTGAATATACAAATTGCACAAACGTGTGACCGAGAAATAAAATTTCTAATTCGACGATCAGAAATTATAATACGTCCCTGTTTTAATCGCTGGACGGTCCGCGCAACACCCACGCGCGGCACCTTCATTACCATAACAATTCTCTTACACGGGGACGAGCAGGCGTAGCAACCGACAAGGCAATTAATATATAAATCCGCGGGCAGCAATAGATCCTGCTCGTCTCTTCCTCTTTCTCTCCTTCTGCTTCATGCTCGCGGTCCACCTAAGTAAGTACACGGGTCCCCCTTCCCCTTCCCCTTCCCCCTCCCTCTTTCTTGTCCTTTTCTCACAAGTACCGCCCGCATAAATCTATGAGAGCTAACCCAAAGCGCGCGTGGTTCCCGCGAGATTTATATTAACTGCGGCGACCGCGTGTACGCGCGGACATCGCGACCGCGCGCGGTACCTACACGGTTTAACGCCGCCGCGAATGCTAAATACTCATACTGAAGGGAAGGAAGGAAAGAAGGAAGAAAGGAAGGAAATAAACGGCCGGCATGCTCGTAAAGTATAGCGCGATTTGAACGCAGCCGCGTAACCGGCCAAGGCAAAGGAAAGGACTTTGGAGCTCATCCACGAAGAGAGAGAGAGAGAGAGAGAGAGAGAGAGAAACTCGCGCGCGCGGATAGTAATGAGCAGGGTAATGAATTTCACTAAACGCCACTCGCCTACGTAGGGATTTCGTAAACACCGCGACTTATACTCGCCACTTATGATGCCACATGGTGCCGCTTGCTTTCTATGCGACAATATAGTCGCCACTATATATTTCATCACCCACAAGAGTCTTATATATTTCTTCTGAGCAACTGTCAACACACATTTCTCACGATAGGATTTCGTTGTTGGCGATATGTATAAATTCTCGTAGTTTTAGTCGGAGATGTTAAATAAAGAAGAAACGAACAAAATTTGCTCTTGTCTCTGTGCTGAATTTTCACTTAAAGGAGATTTGCTTGAGGCTATGTCAGAATATGCCATTTTCGTATCAAAATTTTCATTTTTAAACTTCTTAAGTCACTCATGTTTTGACGGCCACTTTTCTTCCATGAAAATAATGCGATATGTATGCAATGATATATATTTCACTAATTTTATTAATTATATTTTTTACTGTCAAAACAGACGAATATCCATTATTACCAAGCATAATTACCAACGTTTAAACTCGATCATGAAAATTTATTAATGTTGAACATCAGAAAAAATATGAAAGATCAATGTGACATATTGTATATCTTTCAGAAAATAGATATTTATTGTTCAGCATAGATAGAAAATGCTGGCCTTAATTTTGTAAAGAATACAAAAAATGAAAATGAAATATCTTCATATTTTGTTCAAATTTAGAAATATCCTATAAGATTGAAAACGATCGAAAGAAGAAAGCAAGATTAATCTTCCTTACTATTTCTAAACGATAATTAATTTTAAATATTAAATTTGAAAAAAAAAAAAACGAACAACTCTAATATTTTCTACTTTATACCTTCTTCCTTCCTAGAAACAGCTTCTTACCTAGAGTAAAAAGACTTTACGCAAAAAGGATATCGAGAGCAACAATCGACAAGGTAGCGGATAGAGTCTGACCGCGATCATCGTCGTTTTGCAAAATCCAACGAGCGTGCACACAGGTGCACGATAAGATAATAAATTTCTCGAAACGTAACTGGCTTACACGGAAACCTCATAAAGCTGGGACTTAGAGTTAGAACACCGGCGATGCTTCCTGGCAAACGTTGTTCACGATGTTCACTCTGGTCTGAACTGTTCTTCTGACCACCTGCAAGGCGGTCCGGTTCAAGTGGGCGGCAATTGAAATATTAGAACCATAATATCGTAAATAAGATAACCGGTATGCCTATAAAAGACAGAAGCAGAGTAGCAGTCTATAATAACTTGCAATAAATTAATCTTCTTTTGCACGCATTGTCTACAATACCATTATCGTGGAACAACCGCATACTCGCTGATAAACAAATCTCATTCTATAAAATCAGGAAATAGCAAATGTGCATTAGCGAGTATTTAAAAATAATTTGACAGAGAAAGATTCTGAACAATTCGTCCCACAAGTGCACACTATGCAATTCGATATATGAAAGAGATGATATTTTAAAAGTTACGATTGAAAAATGAGTCTTCCTTTATTGTTAATTTTTTATCTCTCGCTACAATTGGTAAATGCTCCACTAGATTTAAAATAAAACAATGTCTACATCGTTCAAATTATGTTTATCTCTAATAAATAACTGAACTATAGTTTTAAGTTCTGACTAGAAATATGTATCATTGAAGTCATTTAACTCGGATGTCTATTTTCATCCGCTTTTAATTATTCTTTTTTTTATCCGTATTAATTAACCCTCTATAACATTGTTTAACTTGAAAATTACTCCACTATTGTATTTATCAAGAAATGAATTTGGAACGATTATTAGTTCCCAGATATTTAATTGAAACAACTAGCTAGAATCAACTAACAATTTCTCTCAATAAGTAATCGAAATTCGGATTGATATTAACTATTGTTTTCATTAATATCTACCAATTATATATTGTAACCTAAAGTAATATCACTAACTAAAATTAGATCAAAGAGCTTCGTTTGGAATAAATATATCTGCGACAATTTAAAAATGTCCAAATACACGTGCACTACTGTAGCGTACTTAGCCTTAAATATCTAGTTAGTGAAACTAATCAACAACTCATATTATTAATGAAAATATGTTCAGTTGCAATTTCATGTCGAAAATCAATAGCTACTTCGAACAAGCAATTATCGAATATCTAACAGCTGCCACATCCAACATCAATGATCAGAAATCGTTCGACAAATACTTACTAGCATTCCACCGATGCCATTACTCTTGGTTGATGTATTGAGAAGTGAATGCACCCATGGAGGTCTTTTAGGCCGTCACGACATAAGAATTAATTCGTCTTAGGGGTTCATTTCTTGGTAAGCGTAGGAGTCCAAGAATGGCGGTGAAAGTCCATCGGGTTCTAAATCCAATTGATCGATTTCTAATCGATGCACGGTTACTATTACGAATGTCTATTCACGTACGTGACGCGATTTTCTATAGGTAAGTACACCATGGCTCAATGGAATTCAAGGAGCGGTTACATTACTATCATTTTCATCGTTTCTCAAATTTCTGTCATTTCTAAAATTCAGGAATTGTTTAGATGTCTATGTCGAAACACGTTGATACATCGTCGAAATATATTTCATTAACTAATACAGAGTACACAGTTTTTATTTTTCATCCTTTGTATATACACTTCATAAAGTTAAAGTCGACTTTAAATATTTTGCAATCTTTTGATCTTCAATAGAATGTGAAAATTCTGTTGTCGTTCCGACGTTCAATTTTAACCTACTGTAGCTGGTAGTCTATTTTTCTGGCTCAAAAATTTGGAGCACCCTTTGTTTTTGGACGAAAACTATTTTTTCATATATTCATCTCATGAATAAGAATATTATAATCATAACTTTGATTTTTTTAAACATACTTGATTAAAAAAAAATTCCAATATTATAAAAAAAATAACATTGTGAATAAAATATTTAATTACTCGAGAAAGTTATTTCCTTCGAAACTTTAACGTACGCTAAATTTTTTGACGACAGTACCTATATATGAATTATCTTCACTGCCGTGTAATTTGAAATTACACCTTATAAATATATTGCCTATTATTTTCAGCGATTTATAAACAAAAAATTCAACCAAGGAGAAACCATCAATCGTGCCAATCATTTTATTGTCGTTCCCGATGAATTCAAACGTGAGACGTAGCACTTTATTCCAGGGATTAATTTCAGGCAGCAAATGGCGTCGTATCAACGATTCTATCTTCGATCTCTTGCTGATCGAAGGATCGCACGCGCACGCGATGTCGGGCGATCATTGTGCCTCAAACAAGAATGAAGCACACCACCGATAGAGAGACACGCGAAACCCACGTCGCGCGTTATCGTAGTAGAAATACTGTCGATGAGAACGGGCGTCGTAATTCGTCGCTAATCACCACGTGCGCACGGTGTGGGAGGCAGGAGAATGTCAGTGAAAGTCTATCTCGGCGATCGTTCCTACGATGATTGTCGTCCCACGTGTTCTCGCTAGAACGACAATCGCTTCCTGATGAAGCAAACGGCCCATTCGAACAACGAAGATTCCAAAGCCTCACAAAGAGGATACCCGAACGGTTGTTATGCATAATCAACTTGGAGGATGGTAATGGAACATCTTAAACGTCATTTAGCCGACATTATATCGCGTTGTGAAATGTGTCTGTAAATTTCAGATTTCCATCAATCTTGTAATTAGTGAATTTTATTGACTTCTCGCATTCAAGTCAATCGAGTTCTTCTAGAATTTTCTGACAATCGACAATTCGTGTATGTAATAATCAAAACTTCCAAGAGAAAGAGTATTTTCAATATTCCTTTGCCTTTTAAATCGCTTTCGTGTAAGATGATGATTAACGGGAAAAGTGAAAATCGAAATCGCAAATTTTCAGCAACTTTGAAATATACTAATGCATGAATAATATTAATAAATCAATTAATGACCATTTTTAGTAAAATAAATACGAGTTACTTGTAAAATATTTGAAATATTTTCGTGATATGAATGTGAATTCAGCAAAAACTATAATATAGGAAATATTTATGATGAATATTTATGCAGTTGGCATTCTAGACAATGCTATTAAAAACAAATACACGCCACATGTAGCAATACGGAGACGAAAAAAAATTGCAACAATTGTGGGTTACAAAGCTTTTCCTCCTCCGTCCTATTCATTGTATCCCTTCGCCGCAGATTATTATGCGAACGTAAGAATGAGTTTGACACGAGTCAATTATACCTCGCTTCGACAAATGAATACTGAAACTGCGGCCTAAATCTCTTGCACTCTCGGGAATCTACAGGCTCGACAACTTCCTCTAATCAACTCTAAACACAGTAATGAACCAGTCAATCCCTAATGCTCGACTGTTTTGATAAATGAACACTCCGACCAATGCTCCAAATCTTTTATATTCACGGCGAAGTTACAGTCTGTTAAAGTTTCTTTAACAATTTCCTCTGATCAATTCTAAATGCCGTAACGAGACAATCAACTGGCACCACTCCATTATACCGAAACCTTGTGTGCAATTAGTCTCTATTATATAACCGTAATCGAATCTAGCGGCGAGTTTCCCTAAAAGCGTCGATAACTTGTTGGTAGAAATGAATACGTTTCAGATTGGAACACCGGCGACGTAACTCAAGCGAACGGATGACCGCGACTCGATCGATTTGATAGCGGTGGCAGCAACGGGCCGCGCCGCATTTGCAATCGATGTTGATTTATCGATCGAAACGGATAGACGCGAGAGTGCGCGGTCGCAATTTGCATCGGACCACACTGCGATTTGTAACACATTCGCGGCTGTCAGCCGCCCGAGGCCCACTGATTTATGCGAATAATTAGAAAACAAGTTCGCCGCGACGAATATTCGCGAATATTTTCGGCCAGTAAATTTGGACGAAAAAGGTTTGACAAGTAGATGGAGGCCTCAGGAATCGGTACGCGCGACTGTTAGCCAGCCACAAAAGTTATAAATAGACGCGTGTTAGTAGGTACAACAAAGGCATAGCCAACCAAGCGGCCATGCCCATGCTTAGAGACGCGAGTTTCGCGCGCGCGAGCGGCCTGCACGCGCGCTCACGCCCGCGATTATCTTCCACAGGGGCCGTGGTTCACGCTGGCAAGCAACGACACCAAGCTACATTGCGGGTAGGCAGTCAAGGTGGGCAGGGTCAGGAATTCCTAGGCGTGCGAGAGTGTCTGGCACACATCGCCACGTCGCGCAGCCCGGAAACCAGCCAGAGCTTTCTCGAGGCCGTTCACCAACGGCCGCAAGGACGTTCTTGCTCGTTGAAGAGGACTCTTAGCGAGAGCCTGCTAGGATCCTTCCTTTTGTCGTGTGATTGCTTAAGCGGAGATACGATTTTAGATCGTTGAACGAAGTGGTAAACGGTTGAAGAGTTTGTCCAAGGTTATTCTTAGCTCTTCTCACAAATAGGAATTGAGGGATAATTTTGTAGAAAGAAAAGAAGGGACAATAATTGGAAGGTAGAATTTTCTTGTGATCGTCATTACTACGAATCACAAAATTCGTAAATATCTATGATTTGTTATATGTCATTTCTATCGTGTTATGTTCATGAATCTATCTCTTGAACCACGTTCAATTTATTACAGAGCATAAAGCCAACATTTAAAACTCTAGCGTGGACAAGTGTGAACAAAGTATTAATTCTAACTTTAGAGACACTTTGTTTCTTGGTAAAATTCGGTCCTGGTGAAATTACCAGTTTGCTGGCAAATGGCGCCTCTTTGGATTTGCCGCGGACGTACCGTTGGCAATAAATACCTGGAAGCAACATAATTCTTCGGGAGGATGCCATGCGTCATGCTAGATTGGTATCGGAGACGTGTTATCGCTCGGTGCGACTTTACGGGTATAACCTTATACCTTACACGTGTACAGAAGAAGGTCTCACCACTCTTTTCGTTTCTGGACGCGTCATTCCGACGGTTCTCTAAAATATGTCCACCAACCGATGTATATTTTACAAGCTAAGGCTGGATCTAGAAACTAGACAAAAGACTCGTAACCTTCATCGGAAATTTATTCGTCGGACCTTCCCTTATCTCATTCACATAAAATGACAATTGTGCCGTTCATAATCAGTATCGTGTCAAAGTATCGTAAGAAATATTCCACTTGGAATTTCAGTATTTCCTGCCTATCGAATTACGAATATCTTTCAATCAGAACAAACGGTACTTATAAACAGCAAACTTTTGCAAAAGACTATGAATTTTTAAGTGAAAGTTAAAAATATGAAAGTAATTGATATATGTGCAGGAATATACAATGCTTACAACAAATAGTTGAATATATCTTTATTTTTGACCTTGTATTATATTTCTAATTGTCTTCTAATTGAAATGCCCTCATTTTCTAAAACGAGGCACTCTCTTTAGAGTTTCACTTTCATACTATCAAATTTCTGCAGTCGCATGGAAATAACTAATTAATCATAGATATAACAGTACGTTTTACAACCACTGCATAAAATATTCAAAGTGCAGCATTCGTTGTAACAATGATAGAACAAACATTTCCCCGTGTATCTGCTACTGTTCGTTATTCGCATAAAAATATGAATACGTCCACGTATTCGTAGTCTAATTATAAGTAACATGTAAAAGAAGAACATCAAGCGAAAAATAAATAACGAAGAAGGAGATCGAGAAATTCCACGGATTATCAAGAAAGACGAAGGAAATGCAAAATCGGCGAAGAAACGGAATTAATTGTCCATTTGGGAAATCAAGAGTTTCGCGGGGAACCAGAGGGGAACCGCAAAAGCGATCCTGCAGGGCGAAGGAATTCGAGGAACCCGCTTGTAACCGAGCGAATCGGCGGAATAGCAAAGGGTACCGAAAGGCGTTCTTCCACCGGACTTTGCAAAAGAAGGGACCGCCGTCCCGGCACGTTTTTCCAAGCCGCGGTTTACAAAAGCCGATGTCAGTTTCGCCGATAGAGAGATTCCATTGGTCGCTCTCCGCTGGCGCTGCCGAGCAATATCGACGAGCGACGATCTACCCAATTAGTAACCATCGTGAATTCCCATTAGCCCATGCAAACTATCGGCCAATCTGCCTGCCCCGAGCTCCTTTCCTCTCTCTACGTACATTCGTCACCGAAAGTGCACGCAAACTCCGATCGATTCTCTTACCGAGTAAGTACTGCAGAACTTCGATAAATTAGGAAATTTCGTTGTTTCTCGAAATCATTACGTTTAATTTTATTTACTGAAAGCAAATGGGCCAAGAGAATTGGACATACGTGATACATTATACCAAAAGATTTGTACATTTTCGGTATTTTGTACACGTGATGTTGGTTAAGAAATGTCTATATATATATATATATATATATTATAATTCTTCCGAAGATTGTCTTATTTCATCTTTATTAGTACCAATGGTTGAATAAACGACGTACAAGCTTATCGATATGTCACTGCCAATCACCAGGCCATACTTGAACTCTCTGTACTTTTGTTAACGAGTATGTAAGATCGTGACCGCGACAATCGGCCGAAACGCACTGTTAGGGTATCTTCATATCGAAACTCAGGCTCGTGTACTGCCGACTCAACGTACACTCTCAAATGAAACCTCGATATAGTTAAACTTCGACTGAAACAAAACGCTGGGTATTTCCAAGACTTCATCCTTCAAGAATCTCGAAAGACTTGCGGAGTTTAGTCAGGGAAGAGCCACTGTGAAGCCGGCTTAATGCAGTTTGGTCGGCAAAGAAGAGAACTTCCCAGTGTAAGGTACTCTTCGACGCATCGGTTGGCCTGTTGCCTCGGCAGATTGTTGACCGTGATTGCAATTAGTAACCCGGCGGGGGCCCTGTGTACCTTGGAAAGGCGCGTCTCTGCCTCCCTCTTTCTTTTCCTTTCGTCTTCCTTTCTCTTCTAGCTAGTACCCTTCCTTCTTTCGGCCCTGACCGCCCCCGAACATGTCAACCGAACTGGGCAAACGATGACCAGTGAACGTTCGACGAGGTCCAAGAAGACGAGCGTAATGGACATTTGTTAGGAAAGAAACGACCGATCGGGCTGCCTCGTCCAGACTGGATTACTCGCCGTCGTTGTTTCTCCCCCCTCTCGGAGGCAACCCGACATCGAGATACCGAATCTATTCCGCGTAATTACCTGGAAAGACGCCGGCTATGCTTTCAGGCCGCGTAACGTCGCTCACGCACGCGGTCACCGCCGCCGCCGCCGCAGCCGTGGTGAGAAACTCGCTGCTTCACAAACACCAGTATGTATAATGTAAGTACTCGTTGAAGTGGAAGAGTGTCGCTTTATACGATGATTACTGATGATACGATACTTCAGATAGAATTGATTGGAGTTGAAGATTTTGAACAACAAATGTAATAAAATTAAATGCTTTATAAGTGCATCATAGTGTTGATACAAGCGTTGGTTGTGTAAGGAAGGATTATAATTCCCATTTAATTCTTCTTTACTGCTCGAGAAATTAAGACATAAGTAGGTTAGGTTTGACGACGAGATGACGAGACATTCTACTGAGAAATTTTTTTGAGCATTCATAAGTCGCTGAAAAGGGGGAACAGTAGGAAAACAAACAGTCAACGAGGATCTACGAAGTAACGAATGATACCACTCGCAAATGGCCAAAATACGATCTAGAGAGATTGTTACGTAGCCGTATCGAGTAGTGGAACGATCGAACGAGAAATCGATTCGATCTCGATACGCGGCTTCGATGGCTCTACCGCATACCGACCGATGAAATATTAGAACGGCCTTTTATATGCATCGTTCCGCGGTAGTTAGCCTCCATCAGGACAAACACACGCATACAACCACGTAGCGCAGGTGCACACGCGCATCGTGCGTAGGCAGGCCACAGGTAACGAACAATCAACAGCACCAGTTACAACCGTGATTTTATGTTCCAATTTGCAAACGCGACGTTAAAGGCCCTCTCGACGTCGGTAACCACCAACACCATCGTCATCGTCGTCATCGCGTTCGTCATCGCGTTGTCCTTCCACAAGACTCTTCTCAACCTTCTTAGTCCTCATCCTCATCCTCATCCTCAACCTTCTCCTTCTCTTCTTCCTCTTCCTTCCTTTCACCGTACGCAACCGTGAGAAGAGATTACCAGTTGAAGCAGAGTTCAGTCGCGCAAGAAACGTCGTAATGTTCGTGGTGAAAATAATAGCGCGGTGAATTAACGAGTCGGTGGAACGTTTGCGAACGTTGATATGGAAACTCATTTTAAAAGTGGTCCGGAAGAAGTATATATACAAAGAAAGCATAATTTCTGAAAAAATTATTACGCTAGTACGCATAATATCCATCGAGGAATTAGAATGTTATCTATACGAAAGAAACGTTATCTATATGATAATGATATCAATATTAATATTAATAATACCCGATGAAAGATGAAATATCTTTTTTTCAATTATCCGTACCATTTCGTATTATTTATATAATCAAACTGTTTTCCTAGAGGGAACGCTTTTACAACGGGTTGAATATTCAACGTAGACGTGGAACTGATCGATTTGTCTTCGTGGATATGTTAAGAGAAAATGATAAAAGAAACGAGATGTCGTTCGAACAATAAAATCTCGCGACACGTTTGACGCAAATGAACGGGAGTGGATGATCGTACAGGGATTTTGACCATCCCTTCCTCCGTCACGGGATATAATTTACATAAACCATAAACATCAGCATCGAATAAACGTAAATAATTAGCTATATTCTTAAACTGTCGTAATAAATTTCGTGCATCCATCGTTCCGCCGCGGCTCGTTCCGCTCGAGTCCGCACGATGGTTCTGTTCCTCCTTCTTCTATCGTTCTTCCCCAACCCTCTCAAGAATCCTTTTTCTCTCTCGGTCATCATTGCGTTCCTTACCCTCCGCTCTCTGTTTTTTTTTCTTTCTTTCGCTCGGTTCGGTACATTATATTTTCACGAGGCTGGATCGCGCGCTGATTACGACACAAGTTATCGCCGCGTCTAATGCAACGCCTGAAGTACCAAGCTCGACTACCAAACTGGATCGCGGAAATTATCCCTTCGGGAGCTGACTTGATGAAACTTCGTAACGAGCCAATGATATCGTCTGATACGTCACATTTGTAAAGATTTCAGCTTAACCTCTTTGCATCCAAAAACAATTACCTATCAACAAACCAAAGATACCTATCTCGCCACATAATAGAAGGAAAGAATATCTCACGACGTGAGATATCATGTTTTTAACTTTGATCGTTTCGTTAATTGAAAAAGGCTAATGTAGAATTCTAATTAATTAATGTTTGATGCATCGACAGTTTGTAAGTTGTTAAAAGAACACATGGGAAAATAAATAAAGGAAATATCGGTTTT